TTTTTGATAATGCAACTGCGGATGTAATTGAAAAGAAATCAACAACGGAAAAGCGACAATTAATCGAAAATTTGACAACCGAAAAGCCACAGAGAAACGAAGAAATCGGCAAGAAACATCCGAACTCGTTGGAATTGACGAATGATAAACAAGATCATCATAGTTCAGACAACACAAGTCATCTAGCGAACCATTTAATTGACATAAAAAACTACATGTTTGTGATTATGTGTGTAATCATTTTCGGATTTAGTGTTATTTTTATCGCGATTGCATGGAAAATCACTCAAATACGTTTAAATACCTCGCTTGAGTCGGGACAAGTAATTTACAGACGAAATGAAATAAATTTACGAAACGCAGTGGAAAGCAACAACGTCATTAAATTTGAAAAGTCGTGAAAAAAGAAGTTTCCATCGATTCAGTTTTAACTTTGAACACAAATATTATGAAAATAAATTGAGAAAAATATATTTGTTTTCATTTCCATAAATTCTCATCATACAAAAAAAATGTTTGCTCCAAAATATCTGTTTAGTCCGCATAAAAAATACCATTTTTGTATAAAGCCATTGAACGCTGAACAGAACGTTCATTTGTGTCATTTTCGAAATGACGTAGAAAATAAAATGTATTGTATCTGTAAAAATGTATTAATAAAAATTTGAGCAAAATCAAGTGACTTTTATTTGGCTATTTTTTCAGCGGCTGCATTTCAATAATGAACTTTGGAACCTTACTTGTAATGATGAAAAATAAAGAAGAATTTTGTTTATAGAAATATATTTTTTGCCCATTGTCCCATTTTTTAATTGTTCAACTAAAAAACATTAACATTTTCTTTGAATATAATGAAACAATTTCTTCAATTTAGTGTAACAATTTGTTTGGGAAAATATAAAAATAACTCTCATTTGGTCTTATTCATAGAATGTAAATTTACAAAAAAGTAAGTAATCAACTCCTTTGTTCTAGCCTTTGTTTGAATGGAATGAAACTTTATTTCAGACAATATATTTGGCTGAATATTAATTTGAAATGAAACGAAATAGCACGCTATTTTTGATAAAACAATAGAAGTGATTGTTAAGGTTATAAAACACTTACGTTGGTACAATAATTATAACAATCACTTCTATTGTCTTATCAAAAATAGCGTGCTATTTCTTTTCATTTCAAATGAATATTCAGCCCAATATATTGTCTGCTTTATTTCATGTTACTTTATTGAATCTATTCTTGGTGTCGAAAAATGAACGGTCGCCATTTACAATATACCCTTTTGCCGCACTTCTCTTTGCCAACAGATCCATGTTACCAAAACAATGATCTAGCTACATTATACATTCAAAATTAGTGTATTAGCACCACACCTGCAATGACGAACAGTACAAAATAAACAATCTGCAAAAAGAAATGCTGAAAAAAGCATTTTTTCCAATTTTTCAACGAAAAACACAATAAACTTACATTTTATGCAAATTTTTTGGGATTAAAACAACAAGGATTGAACACAAAATAGCGACGGCACATTTTTACCTGGGAAAAGGTATTTGCATACTTTCGAAAAATTCCCAATTTTCTATTCATTTTTCATAGCAATTCAATTGTTTCATGTGCACTTCAGGTAAGAGAATTTATATGATGCGAAAGTGAAAACATCTTCTTTGTTATGCTGTAAAAATGTGTCCTATCTTAACTATTCTAAATATATAGCCCAGCACCTCTACAGATTAACCCAAATAGTTTGTATTTTTTTCCACAAAGTATTGCTTTGTAAAAATGAACTTCGTCTCTTCTCATCTTTCATTTGCATCAAATTTTGAATTTACTTTGCCTCACTGCTCAGTTGGAAATTATTTGTCGAAGTGAATAGTCGTTTTGTTAAAAAAAATGTTTTGGTTCGCGTTTTTCATTCTGGCCATTTTAGCCAAAGATATTCATAGTCATGAATTAGACTATGGTGAAAAGTTTCATGACAATTCACTGAATTGGGGAAACAAAAACATCAATGAATTGTCGCCGAATATGTTCAAGGTGTGTTGTAACGATATAAAAAAATTGATTTTATCCTACAATAAAATCGAGCAAGTTCCGTCGTTTGTGTTTCAAACGTTGAAACAACTCACCGACATCAACCTTTCAAACAATGAAATTCAAGTGATTGATGATTTTGCGTTCGCTGGAGATTTAAATTTAAAAAAATTGGATTTATCGGTTAACAAAATCATGTACTTCACCGAATATTTCGTGAGAGACCACACACGTTTGGTGCATTTGAACATTGCATTTAATCAAATCAGTTTCGTGGCACCGGATACATTTGATACACTTGGCGAATTGTTGGTTTTGGATCTATCAAACAACTTGATCGATGAATTTGACAGCAAAACATTTGTGAATCTGGTCAAGTTGGAACATTTGAAATTATCACACAATAAATTGGAGGACATTGAAACGGAGGCATTTTCGTTTTTAATTAATCTACAAACGCTGGACTTATCATATAACAAATTGAAGACATTGGACATCAAGACACTGCCGAAGCCACTCTACCGCATGAAATCCTTGTTACTCGCCGAAAATCAATTGAAAGAACTCATCGGATTAACAAGCGCGACCATGGGACGTAGCCTTAAAATTAAAGGAATCGATAGAAATAAGTTTAACTGCACTTATTTGCATCAATTCTTCAAATCAATCACATGGAACCATTTAGATACAATTTCAACACGGATTGAATGCAATTATTTCGTCTACAAAAATAACAATATAAACGATGCAGTCCAAAAATTCGATCAACTATTCACTCTCGGCATAATAACTTCAGTGACCTGTATTGTTTTCTATGTCCTCACAATTTTAATGATAGAACTTGTTATGGAACAGCATAATTTGAAGAAAAACAGCAAAACTTCGATGAAGAATGAAAAAACATTGGGCGGAAACAACGAAACCTCGATGGAACACGAAGAAACCATGGATGAAAGCAGCAAAACTTTGAAGACCGTATTGAATGATTTGAGAGCAAAATATAGCTCATTCTCTACAAATGAAAAACCCGTTGAACAATCAACTCAAAAAGATTTTGTGGACATTTTCGTTGACAACATCAAAAATTCAATCGACGGAATTCGAAATAAATAATTATCCATTTTTTGAACGCATTTTTTTTTTACATTTTCAAGTAGTGTTTCATCAATTGATGACAGAAAATGATCATAATTACCAACTTTTTCTGAATTCCATCGTTAAAGCGTCGTATTCGTTATCTCGACGATTTATTTATATTCGTTATCTCGTCAAATTGAACCAGAAAAAAAGAAGAAGAGAAAGGTGATTTTAGTACCAAGCATTTTTCTCGTTCTCAATTTCCGAACATGATCAATATTTTCAGTCCAATTTCTTGAATCATTTTATGCTACTTGAAAACTGAAATATTTTTCCAAATTGATAATGCAAATAATAAATAAAATAACTAAAATTAACATCTCAATTGTTCTTTTAATTACTTAGATTTAGGCAACGGCAAAAGAAACAAAGAATTTCGGAGAATTTCCCAAAATATTTTCGAAAAATGTTTCAGCATTCATAAAACAATAGGTAAGAATGGAAAATTTCTTTCTCCAGAAATCATTATGTGCATGGTTCGAAAGAAAAATATCGAACAAGGGTATCTTTTTTGTGGAGATCTCGTTTTTTTCAACACATACATATATGCAAATGCATCCTCGCAGGTAAAAGAATTCGCACAATTCCTGGAAAAAATACAAATGGAATTTGACCCTTTACTAAATTGCTCTTGACCGCTCTTAACACAAAAAAGAACGTCTTTGACATGAAAGTCGCAGTAAATGGAAATCGAAAAAACATTTTTTTGTAATTATCGAACATTTTTGCATTTTATTTCATTGAAATTTAGTTAAAAGCATCAAAATGTCATTTGAATGTGAATTCTCCGGTTTCTCCTTTTTTATACATCTCTCAAATAGTTGCTGATATCTGTGTAACCTGTGGATGAATCATTCTTCTTCATTTTTGGACTTTCGATCACTTTTGAAAGATGATTTGTAAGTTTACCTTTTCCATAGGCCAGCATCCATGCATCTTCATCGTCTTTTGTTCTCGCATTTATATTTGCACCGTTTTCAACTAAATATTTGACTAACAATAAATTACCTGAAATAAAAATGATAAACTAGCGATCGTAATAAAAGTGAGATCTACCTTTTTTGACCGAGAATTGTGCTTATTATAAGAGTAGGTGGACTTCAAGAAGAAAAATTCAGCAAAATATTTTCGATTTTAAGCTGATAATAACAACCATAAATAACTATCACAATCCTCGGCCGAAAAAAGGTGCTTTAAGTTTTACTCAATTTCATCATTTAAAAATAAATGGTAATTTTGGGAAACACAAAATGGTTTTAATCACCATGATAGGCTGCTAGATGGAGTGGTGACCATCTGTCGCGTCGTCTACTGTTTATTTTGGCATCATTCTCCACGAGCAACTCTGCAATTTCCATGTTACCTAGATGTAAATACGCTTAAAGCATGTTAATGAATTTTCAACAAACGTTTGAATTGTTCAATTAACAGCGTGGAATGTTGATACAAGATGAACATTTTCCCAAATTAAAAAAAAAATCCAAAAGCCTCACCCTTGTTACCGGCGCATATGTGAAGAGGCGTAGCGTCATCCTTATCTCTGACATTGATGTAAGCACCGTATTCAATTAACATCCGAACCAACTTGACATTCGCTATCATTTAAACAATTTAAATAAATAAAAGTTTGTGTTATCTATGACGCTGAAAGGCAAACAAACTATTAATTGTTTTAATTTCGAGAAGAAAAAGTTTACAATTTAGCACAGCTTCATGTAAACATGATGGCGTCCTTTTGTAAATGCCTCTTGCATTAACTTTAGCTCCACTTCGAATGAGAATTTCGGCAATTTCTTCAGAATCTAAAATCAATGTTCACGAAAATAGGATAGATCACATGAGAAATATTTGAAATTTCAAGCTACCGTTTGCAACTGCGAGTATTAACGGAGTCGAACCGTCTCGGTCTAGTAAATCAAGCTCAGCTCCATTCTCAATCAATAATTTAACGATTTGCAAATAATTTTCTTCGTCATCTATTTCGTTATTTCCTCTCTTGGCAGCATAGTGAAGACTTTTATGGAAAAATATTATGCGATAATTTATGATGAATTCATTCGTACTTGTACACAAAAAAACCTCCTAGCCGATGAAACGATTTTGACATAAACTTCAGTTTATACGAAGTCTCATTTTTTTCGGATTTTTTGTGCGTATTTTTCCGCTCAAATATTTGTGCGAGTGACTTGATGTCACTTTGATATTTGAGCGGGAAAAAGTATACTACACTTTATCCGAAAAAAAATTGAGACTTCGTATAAACTGAAGTTTATGTTAAAATTGAGGTAGGAGTTTTTTGTGTGTACATTTACTCATTTATTTTACTTTTCCGCACACACCTAGTACGTCTGAATTTATCGGTTGCATCCAAATCGGCCTCATGTTCGATAAGAAGTTTGGCTATTTCTACAAAACCTAATCAAGAACCACATAAAATAAGTTCTTTTGATGCAAACAAAATGTTGAAACGTAATAGAAACCTTGAATTGCAGCTTCATGAAGACAAGTTCGATGATCTTCTTCAAAAGCATTCACATCGGCACCATTTTCCAGGAGGATTTTAACCGCATTCTTTTGTCCAAAAAACACAGCAGAATGTAAAGGAATCGACATTCCAAGATCTCTTGCGTCAATATCAGCTCCATTTCGTAGAAGAACTTTGATAGTGTCCACATCATCTGTAGAAAAAAGATGTTATGATGGGATTTCTTTGGTAGATTGAAACTTTTTTCGAGAAATCAAGATGGGAAGTTTTGAAATATACCACGCTCGGCTGCAATATGGAGCGGCACCATACCAAAATAGTTTCTATTATTAATTTGAGCTCCTTGTTCGATGAGATATTTTACTACTTCGACATTTCCTATTACGGCGATTGAGGAAATCGGATCAATTTTTTTGAAAAGAATGGTTTTTTGCGTGAATTTTTTTCACATTTTAAAAATGACCTTTTTTCTCCGCAGCCAAATTCAATATATCTGGAATAGTTTTGACGTCAGTACCATTATCGACCAACATTTGAACGATGTCTAGGTAGCCTGCATGAGGAAGCGAAATAAGTTCAGAGAAATAAGAAGGTCAATGGATTTTTTGTTAATTTTTTTGGAAATCACCGTTTTTCACCGCCCAAATAAATGACTCTTTGTCATTTTGAATATTGACGCTGTTTTCAATGGAGACATCATTTATTTCTCCTGGAAAGAACAATTTTGATCATTTTTTTAATGGACAGTAAAAAAATATTCGTGTCTCGATCAAGAAAAAAAATGAAAAAGTTAAAAATCAACATGTCATTCCATTGTTCCTTCATAAATATAAATGTTCCAACACTAAATGGAATGATTTTTCTAGGTTTTACACAAAATCGAATTATTTGGTGGTAAAGATGTTATTTCTGTCTTTGCTACTCAATTTTTTCCCCTTTTTTCACTTATTCACATATGTATGTAACACTGTTTAATTATTAACATGATTATGATTACCTGGAATTACGATGGATAAAGTAACTTTCAAAGAAAAAACGAATACAAGCAATATCTTCAGCATTTTTGGGTAATTGTAAGCACTCAAGCAACTGTCCACACAAAAAAATATCAAATGATCACTTGAAATTTAAACTTTTTTACAGTTTTTCTGTACTTTTTAAATTTCTTTGATGCTTCCTATTCGATATAAAAATATCGAAGCATTTTTCAAAGTTGTGTGTTAATCCGTTGGAATCAAATATTAGACTAAATCCAAAAAAGCGTCCAAACCACAAAAAGACATCAATCGTTCAATGAACTGTGCTATATGCAGTCATGCAACGGAATATATTCTTTTTCTCCCACTTCTTCGTTCTTATTTGCATTTAAATTTGATCTAATTTGCATATCGCAAAGCGATAAGAGAAAAGATCAAAATTATTGCAACGTTGGAAACAAAAAGAACAGAGATTAATGTGCGATTTTATTATGGAAACGGTTCTAGTTTTTTGTCGATTCTGCATCTTTCTAATATTAATTTCAGTTTTTTTGTTCCAAGCTAAATTGATATTAGAATGCGATATTTTTTGTCAAGGTAATTTTGCACACTTTTTTTTTATCAAAGCTTGTGACCGTTCTTCAAGAGACATTCTCCAATAGCATTCACCGTTGGCGATATGAAATTTAGAACGAAGCAGACTTGGTGACGAGAAAAGAACTCTTTTTTAAAATGTCATTTTAAGTCTGGGAACTATTAGTTTTCGGATATACGCGATTCAAATGATAAAAACTCAAGATATTTCATTTTGGATGAACTGAAATTGAAAAAAAAAACTTGTTATTTCAAGTCATATAAGTCGAAAAGAGACAAAATTTCATTAGATCCAACAGTTTTTGGTTCAGGTTGATCGATATTCAGATGCATTCGTGTGTAAATAAAGCAATTCGGTTTAGTTCCCTTCATACAGAAACAAAAGAAGACAACAAATTGGCAATAAAATTCTATTTTTAAAATTCGTTCATTTGAAATTTGATATCAGTTTGTTTTTATTTTTAGAAAATTGGATTCATTCGAATCAGATTTACAAACCAGTGAGGAAAAAAAACTGAAAAGATTCAATGCAAACAAATATATTCAAACAAATCCAATACAAAAAAAAATGGTTGTCATTTTCAAAGCCGTGACGTTTGTAAGATGAATTTAGAAAGGCTCTGAAAAAATCTTTGGAAAGTATTTATTCTCGACTCTTTTTCTTGGACGATGAATCTTTTGATGACCTGAAATATTGATTATTTGACATGTTATTCGATTGTTAATTTATAAATTTTAGAATTCTATACTAAAACAAATGAGTTATTTGATGGTGAGAATTAGAGTGATCCCAAATTCCGATGAACATTAAAATGCTTTTGTTAAGGAATCGTTGGTCACTTTAATTCACATGGGCACAGGAAGTTCAAGTCCGGAAAAACTTTCAAGTCTACCCCCTCCCGTGAGCCGATAGAAAAACTTTCGATTTGCTAGGGTTTGTTTATGGAGCGTGCTTAACTTGCCAATTGTGTCCATGTATCATTCTCACCCATTCCTTTATCGCTTACAATTTTAAACTTGAGCCCTCGTCATGTGTTGAATCGCTTTTATCGTCATTTTTGGAGTCAGATTCTGTTTCATCTAGTTCAGGCATTTTGCTATTATCTTCTTCACTGTTTCTAACCAATTAATTTAAAAGAAATACATATATTTATAGACATATACACAAAAATGCGCCTTATCTTACCTGTCAATATATTCCTTTTCATTCTCTGGAATATCCGGCATCATCTTTTTACTATTTTGAAAATGAAACGAATTTTTGAATCGAAAGTCGTTTCTGTCTCTATTAAACCAATACTGACGTATGCTGAAAAAAATGCTTACAACAAAAACCGTGTGAGATCTGCACCAATTTTGTACTCCATTTTAATCGGAAACGCCCAGCTGGCGTCCATAGCTCTGTAGATTTAAATTTATCTAAATAAAAATTGTTTGCTTAAATTCAGACTCCGCTGAAGACTTAAATACCGCTGTTTGATTGACGATTTTAGATCTTTTCCCTCGCAAATGTCGTTCATCAGATTATATCCACTTCTGGTATATCCATAGTATGCCGGCAACAAAGCTTTGTTTGCACTGTGTCTGAATAAAAAAAATACAATTCTTTCACATTTATTTCATGATATTTTACACACCTGTCTATAGATGAGCCAACGATCGCTTTGCCTGTTTCTTTGAAACTTTTTGTTTTACGATATGCTTGCGTTCCATCTAAGAGACTGGATGAATAATAACAATTGAATTTGTATATAGAGAGGTAAGTAATTTGAAAATGAATTACGCTCTTCCAGTTCCAGCGGCTATTTTAACAGAGGCAGGAACAGCAGGATTGAATAATGCAAAGTCGGTACCAGTTGAGACGGTCGTTTTCACTATTTTTTAGCCGGATTTATTCGGTGATTTCACATTTTCGGCATGAAATTACATTTTTCAAAGATTAAAAACGAATTCTTTTTTTAAAGAAGTGCTCATACCTGGACCAATCGAAGCTCGAAGTGCTTCGTCCAAACTCTTCGTTCTATATAATGCCTTTGTTCCGTCGACAGCACTAATTTGAAGAATAATATAGATAATTTAACGCTGAGAAAATGATTTTAATAAACTATTTACCTTTTGGCGGTACCGATGGCTAATTTTGCTGGCGCTGGAAAGACTGGGCATCCCAATGCAAATTCTGAACTTATTTCCAACGCTGCTTTGCCTTTATCTGCAATACTGCTGATTTTTGCCAACTTTTTCGGTCGCTCTTCAACCCTAGTTTGATGAAATTTCGATAAATTAGTAGTGACACGCAATTGAGAGAATGTGAAATTCGGTCACCCTTCAGAGGAGGATGTGGCTGCCTTTTCTGAATTTTCTAATGAAGTTGAGCTTATCGGACTATTCGAAATGTTCGATATGAAGCAGAAAGCGATAGTCATAATTAAAAAATTCTTCATGGTGTTGAGTGATCGAAAAGAGGGACTGATGTTTTGGGTTAGAATAAAGTGGGATTTTAGACAATCATCTTTTATAATCATTAACTGACTTGAGTTGTCTCTTTTTAAAAATGTCAACCATTTATATTAATGGTGTTGGTGTAATCGATATAAAGCGCAGGAACAGCTGAATTAACTTCTGTGACATAAATACCATTGATTGAGTATTGCTATCTTTCTCTATCGCTCGTCTTCTAATGATCTCTCTCTCTCTATTAAAGACGTCAATTATAACAGAGAATTCATTTATATCGTATGATCATTTGATCTACACGTGAAATATGAATGCATACGTGAAAGATCCAAACAAATATTTTTAACGGTAAACAATGAAATGTAAGTAATTTCCATCTATGAGACTTTCTTCAAAACAAATATTTTTTTTTAGACTTTCGTATGCCAGTAAAATCCCAAAAATCGAAAAAATCGAAATTCAATCGAAAAACCTATTAAAACACTGCATTGTGATTTATGACGAAGGCTGAAATAGTAGTAAAAGTCATTGTTACACCACTTCATCGCAATTGAAGTGATGCAAATGTATCGAAGAAGTCAATTAATATTCACTGTCCATAGTCGTAATACGTCTGCACATTACGTTCGCACATCGTGATTGTTTTGCTAAAATGTGATTTGTAGTGGGTTTTTGGAGTGAATAAAAGCGTAATGACCACTGTCGTTTGATATCAAATCAATTCCATCGCTTCAACAGTGACCATCTGATTTATTATTCAATTTAAAATGGCATCAACAAGCATTGTGAGTATTATTCATAGTGTTTTATGTAAAAATCAAGTGAACCAGTGCAATAAATAACAAAAATTTCGATTTTTTCAGATCGTCGTCGTTTTGGCAATGTTCTTCTCGGCCACATTTGGAGCAATTGTGCCTGTTGCCACATCGTACAATGCACATGCAATCAATCACGCAGTTGCCACTCCATTTGCAGCACCAGTCGTGGCTGCTGCAGCTCCGGTCGTAGCCGCAGCACCAGCACCACTTGTTGCCGCCGCAGCTCCATCTCCATACTTTGCAGCTCGTGCTTCATATGTGCCGTCACCATACGCAACAGCTTACTCATATCCATACACCTATCCATATCTCTTCTAAGGAAAATGCCATTTATAAAACTTTTATGAGGCTTGTGGGAAAGATAATAACTTCATTGAACTTAAAATCAATTGAATTAGTATGAATAAAGAGAAGTTTTTGAAAAACAAAAAAATATTTTGTTGACTGTCTTTGTTGACAACATTGAATTTTTTAGGTGCGACCAGTTTATAGATATAGCAGAAATGTTTCAATTTTCAAAATAATAGAAATTCTTTATACAAAGAAACAATCACCTTTTCGCATTCTATTTGGATCAAAAGCTTCGAAAATTTCAATAAAAAATTTCACGCACACATCTGAATGCAGCGATTGCAATTTATACCGTAATCATTGTGAAGTCTCCAAACTGTTTGATAATTCGAAAATCGGATCAGTTGGTTTGATGGTGTGCGTGCCACACAGTGACGTAACAATACATTGTCATATCGACAGAAGACGTTTGCCACAAACACAGCACAAAGGTGCAAGTCATTTATACGTCGTCATTTCTCTCCGCCATGTTCGCCTATATACACTAAAAACCTTGTTTACATTTTTTGGCATCGCAAAATCGTATTTATTTTGTAGTTTTCCAACACAAATTCAGCTCCAAGAAGTTTCAACGAAGTTAAAATAACAACGCAACCAACTTGAGCAAATTTCTCGTAATTTTTCCAATAAATTCCATAAAAGTGGTCACAAGTGAGTATATATTAAATTTTGAAACTTTTTCCAATTTCATACATCAGTTCCTGAAGTCCACTTGCTGGAAAAAGCCCGTTTCAAAGTAAAATCGATTTCTTCAATTCTTATTTACTATAATTATTTCAAAAAATATCTAAAATTGTGAACAGTGCTGCAATTCTACGATACAATTACGAACGAAACGTTCAAAATGTAGAACAATGGACTTATTGATTTGAGCATATTGTTTGTATAAACAAGTCAATCGATCTGATGATCTACATTTTGTTCGGAGCTGAATCATAAAATTGTGGCATTGAATGAAGTCAACCAAGAGTTTGAAGAATGTTATATTAAAAATTGCGGCCACACGCATATATATATGTATATGATTGCCCGAGAATGAAAGCGAGACTTATTGAAATTTAACAACACCATACAAAATATGCTGACAGTCAGCACTTTTTGTATGGCGGTGTTACATTTCAATAAGATGTGAATAGAAGCCCTTGTGGAAAATTACCCGAGTGAAAAATGGCATTGAATTTTTCAATGCGTAGTGTCAAACGGCATTTAAGCAATAAATCGACACCGCATGGCTATAGCGATGTGGTGTATGCACTCAACGTGCACACGGACCATGCGGTCTCGATTTATTGCTTAAATGCCGTTTGACACTACGCATTGAAAAATTCAATGCCATTTTTCACTCGGGTACTCACTGACTAGTCTAACTAATTTGTTCTAAGTTGATTTGGCTGATTTTTCAGTCAATTCTAGTAGTACTATATAGACAAAAACGTCCCAAATTATTCATCTGTTTAAAATGAGATACATAGACGACTAAAGTCGACTTCAGTTAACAAAATTCAATTTCAGTCGATTTCAGCTAACTAGTCAGTCAGTCATTTTTCTTTCCACACGGGAGTTTCTCTTTCATTCTCGCATATTCATATATGAACGCAACAACTGAAATATCATAACCTCAAGATTGAACGAGATTCCTTGGTGAAAGTGTGTGATAATATTGATATGTTGCTCTTTGCATCTCAAAGAATTAATACAATTGGTAGTTTTGCTTTGAGGTTTATTGTTATATTTTTATTTTTTCACAGAAAATGGCTGATCAAGGAGGAAAATTGAAAAAATCGGGCGTAAAACGTCGATCGGAAAAATCAAATGATCCAAAACCAAAGCATCAACGAACTGGCGATGATGAAGGTGAAGTCACCGATGGAATCAAGCTGACCGATGTCATTGATGATTGTCTTGAGCGAGTTTTCATGCATTTATCTCTTGATGATCTATTGAACATCGCCCACACAAATACAGAACTGAAGCCGGCCGCTGACATGACGTTCCAACGTAAATTTGGCAAGATGGAATTCGCAATATACGACACTTTTTACCCAATTAAATAAACTCGCATTCAAATCACCGATAAGAAAACCCAGTTGCGATTGTTGCGCTCTTTTGGCCACCTAATCACAAAGTTGATTGTTAAACCAATTGGTGCATTTGGGAAGAAATTAATAACGTACTCAAGTAAATACTGTTCTACTTCACTAACTGCCCTCCGGACTCATCAGTCTCGTAATAAATTTCTACCAAAAAAACCATTTGCAAATGTTGAAGTCGTTGAATTCCGCCTTAGCCAATTGTATGAGGACATGGATTTTAACAAATGGTTTCCGGTAATACGTCGTTTAGTTTTGATTTGGTGTACTCGTGCCAACAAAATGTCCGTCGTGAAGAATCTTCCACATTTGAAGCACTTGAAAATTGAGAGCTGCGAACGCATTTCAGCCGAAAGTATCCGCGGTTCGTTGCAAAATAATCCACAATTGCGCAGCTTAACTCTGGATAGACATAATTTACTCGAAGACTTCTGGACTACATGTCAGAAGCTTACACAATTGGAACACTTATATTTGCAATGTAACACAATGAAATTTGTTGACACTGCTGTTAACTTGAGTGCGTTGAGACAGTTGGTAATTGTCAGCCAAAACGTCCAAGATCTACATTTGTTCTTGTCAAATTTCACATTCAGTCAACTTGAAGACATCACGTTGGATTTATCCATCAGAGACACATACCAATGGTCAAACTTCTTCAAGAAGAATTCATCGATTGAAAAAGTCACGTTGAGAAATTACAGCTATTTCAACCATGACATCGTGACAGACGTTGTACGAGAACTAGTACCAGAATTGCCATTGTTGAAAGAATTCAACAATTTTGCTCAGAATTTGTCGGTTAATGACATACTTGACTTTATGGGTAAATTCAATTTCATTTTCATTAAATGTTTTCATTACTTATTGATTAGTTTTCATTAATTTCATTCCTTTCCATGTAATTCATTCCCAGGTACATTCGATTTGAGGAGCTATGGTTTCCGACTTCATTACGACTCCAAATTCCACGATCTGAAGAACCGTTTGGGCGCAGAATGGAAGGCGTCTTTTGATGGTGGATGTGTTAAAGTGACCCGCAAGGAATGATGCATCGACTTCCTGAATTCGCAAATACAACCAGTTCAAGAGAACAGCGAGCAGAAGCACAAAATTTAAAAATGAACACCACAACAAATTCCATCAACTTGAAAATAGATAGCTTTTAAGTTACATTCGATAATTAATCCAACATTCAATCATTTTCAAAATGAAATTTAAGTTTGAATTTACTATATAAAACTTTGCGGCTACAATAAAAAGTAAAAACAACAAAAGTTCCCATGAGATGCTTTTCTTTCAAGGTTTTTTCATTTCAAGGAAAGGTCGCATTCATCAATCATGAGAACAACAATCATGGAATATGAAGAAAATGAATTTGTTAAGTAAAAGAACGATGAAAGAGATGATTTAAAATGAAATTTTATTTGAAAATGTTTTTTTTTCTTTAAAAAATCGAATTTCCAACACGAAATTCTTGAAATTTAAACAAAGTATTGATCTAACCCTAAATTGTATGAGTTTTTTTGGTAAATATTTTCACAAGGACATTTTTTCAAAGTTCCTGCGGCACGCTCTGCTCGCACTCCATTTAAAGCAATGTATTGGGTTTCGAACACGCAGATGTGCTGCCACCTGGTATCTCAAAGTTAAGCTGCTATAACGCACATGCTTCTTGTAAATGAAGAAGAAGAGGAAAGCAATGTCTTTACATAGGGTTGAACTTATAAATGTCAGAGAGCAGCACAACTGCAGTGTTCAAAGTGCGATTGCCCTGCGGACATTTCGAATTTTTCAAAATCCGAAGTTAATCTCTTCAGTTTATGATAAAGAAAAGTTAGGAAAAAATAAAATGTCTTACATCCGTAAGATGAACTATTCCGCATTGTGATCCACAGCATGCTTTATTACATATCTTTTACTTAAAGTTTGCAGTGAATTTTATTACTTTTCCGCACACATAGTGTAAGGTGAAAAGTATTGTAGTCGGTCAAAATTTTGAAAACTTCAGAAACATGTTTTCTGGACATTTCTGAGGTCAGAGAACCCGAATCAGGCCGTTTTGAGCATGGTTTATGTTAATCTGTACGTCGTACGTCGTACGTTGTACGTCGTACGTTGTACGTCGTACGCAAAATTTGTTAGCAAGATTGCGCTCATCGTAGAATCTTAATTCAAAATCCGACTTTACAGGATGATTGGGGGTCGCGAGGAATTAGATTTTGAGCGACTTTGGTTGATGGAAAAAAATTTCATGCCTGGAGTGATATCACCTATATGTATATATGAACGCTCTAGAATAAAAACAACGTACAGAATGGTTGTTATATCAAAGCGGAACACGGCGTTTTTTTTATATAGAATTGTTGTTGTATTACAACAACAAATCTATGTTAAAAAAACGCCGTGTTCCGCTTTGATATAACAACCATTCAGTACGTTGTTTTTATTCTAGAGCGTTCATATATACCTATGAAAGAGAGTCCAATTTTCGTCCAAAAGTCATACTTAATGTAGACTTAAACACTCAAAAATATGTATTGAGAGGTTTTTTGGCACGAGAAAACCGAATCCGAGGTTAAATTTGAGATACAATCAATTTTTGATACAGTTTCCTTGAAAAAATCACAAAAAATTGAATTTTTGTATGGGAGCTATGCCTGTATGCTACCGTAATGACGTGAAACTTTGCACAGACTATTTTTTACACAAAAAAATAACATTTTGAAAGTTTGAAGATATTTCAATTAAAATTAGGGGTACCTCCCATACAAAATTTTCAATTTTTGGCTCAAAAACGAATATATATATTGTATGGGAGGTACCCTTAATTTTGGTTGAAATCTCTTCAAACTCTCCGAATGTTATTTTTGTGTGATAAAAATAACCTGTACAAAGTTTCAGCTCATCACGATATCATACAGGCATGGCTGGAAAAGTGTGTCGAAAATTATTTGTATCGCAAAACCAAGGTCATATTCGGTTT